AGTGGTTTCTAACCACATATGCAATGGTCCCACACCTGCTGACACAATTTGTTACAAAGAATTTCTTATCATTAGTCTTACTAAAATGCGATCCAAACCTTGGTTTTATGGAAACAGCAATATCCTAGTTTTTAAGTTACAGGAAGGGTGTTAAAACATACGGTACAGTATATCTAAAGTTAGAGCAGCCTTAAAGTGACATCTCAGGGATAAAATCTATGTAATAAAATATGGCCCAGTTCACAGACCTCACCCAGTGAACAGGATTTTAATGGTTCAAACCAATGAACCATACTTTTCCATTCAGAATAAAACAATTTCTACCATAGGGGTTACCCATATTCTTCAGTCTATACTTAAAGCAGCATTCTGACATTTTATGAAATATGCCTATTTTGCTTTCTTGCCAAAAGTTGGATGAAAATATGAATTCCTTTCTCATTTATGTTGAAGCAACAGCCAGAAGCTGGGTAACTTAACATAAAGACTGGAAACAGGGAAACACTGGAGCAATGAGGTCTCCACTCAGAGAGACAGCAAGACTCTAGGGAAGCACCGCTTCCAGCCAAGAAATAGTGCAGTTCATAACTCCACATAAAACCATAACCTGTGTTTTTCACAGTTTTTTGTATGTATTAAACAAAGGAGATATAATGTGTTAACCAGTGAGCTTTAGAGGTGCTGTTAGGTGGGTTTTGCTGCCTTCAAGCAGAATTGTTGCCCCTGTTTCCAGTGTTTATGCTAAGCTAAGCTACCCAGTTGCAAGTTGAGTAGTAGAGATTTGAGTAGAATTTTATCTTCTGTAATTCTTGGCAAGAATACCTTTTATTTTCTTTTTAATGCCACGATGGCAGGTGCAGATGTAGTGGTCTCATGCGGACCAAACATTTTAATGCTTTTGTCATATTGTCTTCAAATGTTAACTTGCTACTGGCATGATGGACTCGTTGCTGACTCCTCATGATGAACTGTATGTTTATTTCAGCAAGGTATGGTGCATGAATGCTGTAGTTCTGTCCAAAAACTGTTCTCCACTGGTGGAGTTTACTATCACTGGTTATACTATCTTAGGGAGTTCTCTGCTGTTGTTATTGTAGCTGACAGCTGAACTCATTGGTTGATGGAGGCACTGCGGGAGGTGTCAGTGATCAACAAGCTGCACACCTGATGGATTTTTGATCATTGCTGGCAACTTCAGTCATGCATATTTAAAGATTGTTTTGCCAAAAATCCACCAGCATGTCAAGTTTGCTACAACAGGAGACAATACTCTCAGCCTGGTTTACATCGCAGTTGCTGCTGCTAACATAAGAGTGCTCACTCTTACCTTTAAGACTGTGTTGTGGTTGTATGCGTAAATGTTTTATTTACAATTTTTAGTTGAAGTCTATAGTAATTTAGTTTTTTGCACCTATTTTGCACTTGTCATTAATGTCTGTCCTGTGTTGGCCCATGTACTCCATTCAGACATGCATTTACATGGAAATCATAATAAATATGAACCTTTCCCAAAATGTTAAACTTCTACTGTAATGTAGAATTTCTCTTATATGCATTGTAGGCAGTTTGATTTATCCAGTAAACTAGATGATAATTGCATGATATTCACTGCATTATTATACAGAGAAAAAGTGCAGTTCACCTATCTAGTAGGGTAGAATATGTAAATGTTAAAAGTGTAAATGTTGCACTGAATTAGCCTTGTCTTCTCTAACAGTTGCAGTGCACTGGGCTACAGAATGTGGCCATATGGGTGCTGTCTAGCATTACTGTCACCCCTCATTTATTATAGTAAGAGGAGATGGCCCCACTATGCCCCCTAATCCTCTTAGCCAACATTTAGCTTTTCCTTCTATCTTGATTCAGATCATCATTGTGATAAAAGCACGAAGTTGTATTTTATTAATGCCATTCAGTCTCACAAGTGGATAGATGGACAAGAGAGGAAAAACATAAATGTTTCAGTAGGGGCCACCTCTGGAAGAAGAATAGCACATTATTGAGTTTAAAGGCAGAGCAAGCTGAGTAAAAGGAATGAATGATATGAATGTTGGCTCCCGTAAACATAGCTTTTTGCTTCAGGTTAGCAAAACCACACAGTGCATTCAAGAAACAAATCAGGTCTTATGAAGATGCGGTTTAGCTTCGTGTAGACTAAGACAGTTGTGTTAGCGGGTTCCCTTCTTGCATGTTCTCCAGATGGCACCACACACTGTCACTCACAGACTGTATATAACTCTGAGATCCTTCATAAATTCAGACGATTCCCTCCTCCTTCGCCTCGTCTCAGCTATACTGAATGATGATCTTGGAGATTATGTATTGGTAATTCCTGCCAGGTCTTTAAAACAACGCTCATACTGTGTGCTTAATACACTGAAGAGGGATTATGTAGACCCCTACATGTGGTGTTGTGGCTGCATACCACCAGTCAGACTAAACCCAATCTGTTACAGATTTGGACTAAAGAGGAGAGGTGCGACAAGCACAAGGCCTGTGCTATGCTGTATTCATGCTTTACAGTACATTCCACATCTTCTATATCGTGGGGGATCAGAGCTACTTTTATCTGTATATATTAGGGCATTAAAAACAACCTTGGGTTGTGAGATTTTTTTTTTATTTTTTATTTTTTTTGGTGGATCTCCTTCTTTTCTACATTTTTATTTTTCCTTTGTGGTAGAGGCAAAGCCAAACCCCCATAACAGTTTCCCCTAGAATGTGGGTCCAATTAAACACATATTATAACCATATGTGGATTTTCATATTGAAGCTCATAAAAGGTAAACTCCAGCAGTTTACATTACATTTACATAAGGAATGCTAAGTACCTTCGCATGTGATGTGTTAATATCTCTATCAAAAGCAGATGGTCATCACTATTCATTGCTTTAACCCAAAGTGTTACATTGAACAAGATTCTCAAAGGCAGGGATGATTTCTTAAATTTGTAAAATTTCATAAGGGTATTATTTCCTATCAAAAAAGGCCAAAATTTCAGCATTTGGAGGAATCACAGGGTCCTGCCAAGTCTGTATTCCATTTTAAATTAAGATTAGCCAACAGCTGGCGTGCTTTTAAATTTACACTCATATTGTATTCAGTATATTAGAGGCCATTTAGGACTAAGAGACAAGCTTTTTATGTCTGTAGTTATGTGAATTTCATATTGATTTACTTTCTGCACAGCCCCTCATACATGCAAGTGTATTCATATAAGAGCTGATTTGGCAGCGAATGCTGTTCTGTTCTGAACTTGGCATAAGTTGTCTTGTTGCATTGATTGTTGTCTAGAGCAGCCAACATATGTAGATGTTTGTGTTTGTGCTAAATCAGTAAGTTATAGTCATGACTATCATTGTCCAGTCAAAGTGAGGCAATACATATATGATTACTGACTAAAAATCATGTCATTGATTCAAAATTGTAATTCTCCTTCTCCTTCTTAATATTGTTATTGTATGACACCTTTGATTTTCAAAAGAATAGATTTAAATTCCACATCCACCACAAGCTCTTCTTTCAGCCCTTGGGATTTCTCGAGCTTCTCGTGTTCCTTCTTCCTGATGTTGCTATGGCTTGGGATTGCTACATCTATCACTATGGCCTTCTTCCTCTGTTTGTCCACCACTACTATGTCCGGTTAGTTGGCCATTACCAGTTTGTCAGTTTGTATCTCCTGACATAGAACTTGATGTCATCCATGTAGAGGAGGTGGCTGATGGTTGCTCCATTCCGTAGTCGGTATCTGTAAGTCAGGAGTGCAACGACTTGTACATTGGTGAAACTAAGCAGCCGCTTCACAAACGCATGGCTCAACACAGGAGGGCCAACTCCAGTGGACCAGAGTCAGCAGTCCACCTCCACCTGAAGGACAAAGGACATTCTTTTGAGGACAGTGAAGTCCAGATCCTCTCCAGAGAACATCGCTGGTTTGAGAGAGGCGTTAAGGAAGCTATTTTCATAAAAATAGAACACCCCTCACTAAATAGGGGTGGTGGACTAAGACACAACTTGTCTTCCATCTACAACCCGGTTTTGAGATCTCTGCCCAAACATGCCCACCAGGACAATAGGCGTCGGCTGACAGGGGAGGATCCAAAGACAGGTAACGACCCTCATTGATACTGGGCTGGGCTGTAACGACTCAGTCGTTAATGGACATTGTTGGCCTTCTAAGGACTGAAACCACACCGAGGGGGATAAATATCTCCGACTCAACACCAGTCAGTCAGAACTGATGAAGCCTCTTGGATGAGAGGTGAAACGTCTTCGATCTAGATATCCAAGTCCAGTTGATTTCCAAGGTTATTTCGGTTGCGGTTTACTATGACCTGGATGACTGAGAATCTGCACAGATATCTGTAACCACTCTTGGTGATCTGAAAAAACTTAGAAAAAATCAACTGGACTTAGATTTCTAGGTCGAAGACTCTTGGTGATGATCTGGCTGAGGGGGTTCGGCCCCATGCAGAACAGCAGTGGGGCCAGAGCATCTCCTTGATAGATACCACACTTGATGTTGACTTGTGCAGTTGGCTTGAAGTTGGCCTATAGGGTTGTTTTCCACATCCCCATCAATTATATAGAGATATATATATATATATATATACTGTATAGTGCGCAGGAAAGATCTGTAACTAAGACTTCCTTAAAGGCAAATTTGGAACAGTTTTTAGAGGAAATTTTGAATATGGTAATAACAGCACATTTCCTGTAATGGAGGACTCTTTCTGTGAAACAAGTGCAATTATTCATCTTTGCATATAAAAATACTGTGACAAAGCTGCATTGTGCCAAAATGAGGCTGGAGAAGCCTCTGCTGTTCTGCTATGTGTTGCTGCACCCTAGTGGTGGAACAGCAGTACTGATTCATCCTTGCAGTTGTTAATTATGATGAAAACAAATGGAAAAAGCAGATTTAACCCCAACTAAACAGAAATAACAGCAAAGAAAACAGGAGGTGATTTGTATTTTAAACAATTTGTATTTATTCAGTGTTTATTTCCTTAATCCATTTTTCTTTTGCAAACATTCTGCCAGCAGGGAACGTTTACATGGATATAATCTGCTAATCGTTTCATAATAAGCGTTGCTAATTAACTTAGAACCAAGCAAGGTTGAAGAAAAAAATCAAAAGTATTGGTTGTGAGAAAACAGCTTTTTTTTTTTTTTTTACTGTTGGCTAGTGAGTCAGCACTATTATCAGTCAAACCATACACACAGCCCATGCACATGGGGAAGCAAATACACACACACAGACATCAGACTCATGTATTTGAAATACAAAACAGCAAAGCACAAACAGAACCGTGGTAAGTAGTGATTAACTGTTTGGCAGAGGTATAATTGGAGCTTCTAATTACAGTATTACCTCATTGTTCCTCTCTACTTCTAATTTACCACATTTACATCCCAGGAAAATTATACCTTTGGTTGGCATCACAATGGGTGAATAGAAAATAGCCACAAACAACAAAGAATTTTCATCAGCTGTGTAGTTAAACACAGGTTTGAATAGAGATTAAATAAAATATTCAAGCTTTTTGTTGCTTACGTGATGATCATATCTCCAAAACATGTGAGATGTTGAGCTTTTAGCATTAAAGCAATGAGAGTGAATGCTTTTATATGAAAGACAACAATGTGTGGTGCTGTATCTAGATGAGCTTTATAGATACGTATATGCAATATAGCATGGCTACAAGTGCAAGCATCAAAGATATAGCTACATTACATATCAAGTGCTGGATAGACCAGACACTACTTAAGCAACAGTTCTTGCAAAACTTGGTATAACAAAAATGTAAGAAACATAATTACATTGCATATTTGTTGCTATAGAAACATTTTCTTATACAAAGGAAATTAAATACTAAACAAAATCGCTGAGATGTCAAACTTTTTGCTCTAGGTGAGTAAATACTTCACAATTACCAATTACATTCCAAATTACCATATAACCTTAGATCAGAGGTCAGTTGTTATTTAAATTAGAGACACGGGTTTGGATGGTTACCCTTCTGACCGGAGTCTGATCCGCGTTGTGATTGGCTACCAGCTCCTGCAGCTGCAGTGCTCCTCCACCAATGAAACAGAAAGCTGGACACACGGGGCCAGAACAATCTACATGACCCTCCCACAGAGGTCGCAGAGAGTGGGCGTCAAAGAAGGTGACACGGCCCTTCTCAAAGTCAAGGCATACACCAAGTCGGGGCGGCAGCGGGTAGGTGAGGCCTGTGGGTGTGGAGGGGCCGTTGCTGTTAGTGATGGGGTCTCGGATGCTGTTCCCATGGCTACTGTGGTGGTGGTAGTTGTGTTGAGGCATGTAGATTTTACCCATGCCCATAGTGAGGAAGCAGAAGGGTGGAGCAGAGTCCAGGGCATCTTCTGCTCCACTGTCATGGCCACTGTCTGGTTTTTTTCTAGAGAGATAGAGAGAGAGAGAGAGAGAGCGCAGTCTGAAAAATTTAGATTTTATTTCAAATTAGCCAAGTTACAGCACAGTCCATGTACTCCTGATTGGGAATGACCATTACATACAATTATTACCTACATTAGTGTTAATTAATGTCCATGTCATGCTCCAGCTACTCACCGGGGACTGGCCATATCTTGTGGAAGGTGAAACCACTCCTGCAGTTTGGATTCGAGACCAACTCCCACCTAGTCAAAAGAAGAGTCTAAATGTAATTAATAATTGACTAGCCACTACTTTATTAAATCATCTGCAAGTGACAGCAGGCCGCTATGTTGTAACCCAGTACAAACCTACCTACATCAGACATTATAACCAAGTATTCTGTTACTTATGTGGGAGAAGTTAGTGCAGCAGCTCATCAATCCTGTGTATTAATACCCTCTTTCCAACTTTCTTTTTAGCAAAAGCAACATCTCATATTTTATTCTTGAAAAGCATTATGATGCAAATGCTGTTGTGTCACATTTTACAGTATGATGAGACTGTTTGAGGTGAGATAGAGTAGAAATAAAAAGACTTAGATTTATGTGGCCATATAAATGTCTTCACAGACATTTTTCAGTATTTATTTGTTTTGACCACCTCTGGCTGCTTTATCAAACATTTTACTGTCCTGAACCTCTGTCATTGTCCTTGTCACTGCAGCCATGCAGTATCTCTCCTGTACTGCTGGTATTCTGCTTGTAACACAAGATTATAAACAGTGTGTCTTGGATGAGAGGTCAGTTCCACCCCCTCTTTTGAACACTGGAGAGTCTAGGGAGTTTGCAGGTCATAGTACAATCTATTGAAGTCTGTACAAAGCAAAGTAGACTGGTCGGTTTGTGAAATGCCTCACCCTGTTCCACATAGACATGAATGGGAAGTAAATTTTGGTGTGCCGGCACCATAGGGAGAATTATTAATCACATGCCCTCTGATTTATATTCCACCTCACCCAGCCCTTTTGCACTTTGCCTGCTAGACCTGGGAGATGTCCAGTGGTTAAATTGTGCCCTCAGTGTCACTGAAGTTCAATGTAATTTATGTTTAAGTATTAAGTCTGATAGTGCATACTGCCCAAAATGTGGAATGCAGTATCACAAACAGTATGTAGTATTCAATGCATTCTACATATAATGATTAACTAGCATGTATTTACCTTCACAAGGTAAGAACCAGGCTCTACAGAGCATGCCCAGTAGTGTCGTCCCTGTGTAATAGCTACATCACCAACCAAGAGGTCTGAAGTCAGGTGACAGGAAGTGAGGGCATGGTCAGCAGCCTGCAGCAGAGAGAGACCAGGGACACTGCGAGCGCAACGCTGCTCTTTACTGACAACCAGCCGGTCAGCATGGAGGCCCCAGCGAGAGTCCAGGTAAAAGTTGAGCACTGGGAGAAGACATGAAGTGGGAATGCAACAAAGAAAAGAGGGGAATAGAAGGGAAGAAGATGTGAAGACAAGGAGATAGGTGCATTCAAAAGTGACAACGGTTTTAGAGGCAAAAGGAAATGATTGGGCAGCAACAGGGGGAAAGTGGTGCAGGTTTACAGTCAGAACTCAACAATGGCAAGAGAAATCAGAGTATAATAAGCAACTGAAAGGAGAGACTACGGGGTGAGGAACAGAGAGCAGACATGCACCTCCTCCCACGACTACTGGAAGAAAAAAGACATTGATGTATACATTGATGATTCAGGGAGTGAAATACAAAAGGTATTCCACAGAAGCTCTGGCTGTTGCGAGTGCAGATTTTTCCAGAGGACATACAATTTACAAAGGTAAAATACTCAATAGCAGGAAGGAAAACCAGTTTTCAGTACAGGGACACGAGGAATTCACCAGTCACTCAACTCAACCATCAAAAAGCTCAGGATCTGAATGTGATCCATGTTGTTAAGCCTCGGGTCTTAACAAACTGCAAACCTCATCATCAGTGCTCAGACAGATCTCGTCATAAAAGGTAGAGTGTGAGGCAGAGGGGTGAGTGGTGCTGAGTGGAGGAACAGAGGATGCATGGGATGACCACAGAGAGGAGGAGAGGAGAAGAGAGAGGCGATCAAACCATATGAATGCACTTCTTACGTTCTGTAGGAGGCATGTAGGTTGGCAGCGTGGAAGTAGCACAGAAGAAGATGACAAGTACAGAGCTGTGAAATGGAAACAAAAAGATGAGGAAATAAGGAGTAAGAATATGAGAATGTGCTGAAAGTGGAGACAGGTGGTAAAATGGAAAAAGAAGATGGGAATGGGTAAAAAAAAGAGAGAATGAATTATTAAGTGTTTCTCCATGGAAACCACCATAACAGTTTTATAGTGACTGATAAATAATAGTAGGTGACAAAAGATGAATGGCTCCTGGTTGACAGCAACTACAGCTGGCTGTGGGGATATAATGATATTTTTTTGGTAGCTGTCTTACACTTGTCACCGATTTGAGTGGCTAGAAGTCATTAACCAAAAACAGCACAAAGACTCCACAGTTGGGTGGAAGATATAAAAAGACATGTACAAAACCAACACATTCTGGACAGGCGAGAATTGAACCCTCTGACATTCTACCTCTCTTTCAGTACAGAGCAAGTTAAAGAATAGTCCCAGTTTACTTCATTTTAGGTCATATTTTCTTAGTTTTGGCTATCTTCCCTAAAAGTGAAGATGTTATTGTAGTCGCAGTGTTAATTGCTTATATCTGGAAATACACTAGCATTGCTAAAACTCACACTGAGGCAACAACGGGCAAACAATAACACAAGTTAATAATTACTACTAATTCCAGGTTAGTTAAATTTATTTGAAAGACAAAAAAATAATATAATGGTCCGCTGTGACCATTTGAAGTTTACATAACTATGCTAATTAGCTTCTATTTTATTCTATTCTTTTTAAATTCAATTAAATAAAGGTCTTTTAAAATTACCATACACCAATCAGCCATAATTTTATGACCACCTCCCTAATACACAAGCGTCAATGCGACAGTCGTGTCACTCTGCAGCCAATTGCTTCCATAGATCTACTGTCAGGAAGAGCACAAATGTGTTGACCGTTCAGTGAGAACTTTCGTAAGAGGAGTGAAGACTGTGGTCGTGAGGACAAGGCAGAGATAATTTTAGATCAATTCAACAACCTCTTCACTCTAGGTGTGATATCACCACCATAGCTGCTGATTGCTTCTCTTCATAGAGATCGATGTGCAGTATTTCTCAATTTCAGCCATTTAAACAAAGATTCATACTAAATGTAGTTATAAGTTGCCTCGTGTTCATCTACTAAGATTTGCTTCCACATTGTGAGTGTTTGGATGAGGTTATTCATGTTCTAGTTGTAGCAGTAATACCATTTCCCTGTGTTATAGTCAAAGTCTTTGTCTTTACTTGTTAATGTGGATTGCTGAAATTTAAAGGTGTACTCTCACCTGGTGCAGGTGGGGTGTGCAGGTACACCTCCTCACTGTACTCCCCGTAGCCCGCCTTGTTGCAGCCTCTCACCCTCAGCACATACACGCTGTCCATTTCCAACCTGTCGATCACAGTGCTGGTTCCATTCACTTCATCCAGTCGCTGCCAGCCCCATCGGGCGGCAGACAATCCTCCTCTTATCCCACCTCTGGATGCTCCTCCTGGTACCACACCCCGACGGCGATACTCGACGGAGAAGTGCCAGGCGGGTGCAGACTCTTGGGGCAGTCGCCAGCACAGGAAGAGCTGGTCATAGGCCAGGGTACGCTGGGTGTCAATCACTGGAGCCATAGGGGCTGTGACATATTGTGGAAATATGAAGTTTCTATCAACAAAAGGTTTAGATGAAGAGGTTTAATGTGTCATACTCTATCACGGGCTCACATTTACATCATAAGTGAGATTAAAAAGTAATAAAGAAGCCCCTGCCTCCTCCACCTCCCCTTCCTTCCTTTATTATTTTGCCCCTTTCCACCATCTCCAGCCCCGTGCTCCTCCTTCTCACCACTCCTTTTCTCACCCTGGATGAAGTTCAGCTCTGTCAGGAGTTTGAGTTCCTTGGACACATCCAGCTGGAAGTGTCTGAAGGACGGATCAGCAGCCAGCGTGAAATGCTGGAAATTCTCAATTGCTTTGCTCAACCTGTTGCAGTGAAAAATGGGGAAATCAGAGGGGAAAAAAGAGAAATGGTGTTTACATGAAGCTTCCATCAGGATGAGTGGGCTGGTGAGACAGACTGACAAGGAAGAAGAGGTTTGTGATAATTTTTAAAAGCTAAACTGGCACTATTTCTGGAATATTTTTATATCAACAAATACAATATAATATATCTCAGTACTTTCCAATGTCCCTACTAGGGATTGTGTCACCAAACCTCAAGCCCACTGAATTCTGCTAAGGACAGGTAACAAAAATATTCTTGTATTTTTGAAAACTTCAATGCAATTTCCTAAAACAGCTGGTCACTGTAGCGTTTGGCAGGTGTTACACAGTAAGTAGCAAATAGTGTTTGTTGCAGCCTAGTTTCAGTTGTGGATTCATGTGTTTGGTGCACTAGTGAATGTTTAAGCTGTCTTCTGCAGAACCGTCAGGTGAGAGTAAAAAAAGGCAACAAAACAAAAAACCAAACTAAGAAAGAACGACAGACCTAATTGAAGATCTGTTTGGTCAAGACAGAGAGCATGGCTAAAGACAAATAAATTAAATGCCTGTTATGAGTCTGGCGAGCAGCCTGCACAAAGCAGGGCTGGTCTGTTTCCTTCAGCAGCTCCTGAGTAAACGCCATGAGGCCTGCATGTTCCATCAAGCTCCGTCTCTCTGCCACTTGAGCAGCCAACGCCTCGCCTCGTTTCTGTCGTGCCACCTCCAGAGCCTGGGTGAGCGAAGCATGGCGCTCGGCTAGAGCGGCCGGCAGATCCCTGATGCGCTGAGCCAACTGCTCTCTGGCTGACACGCTGTTAACCTGGTAATAAATAACAGATGGATTCAAAACTCAGACAATTAACATCATACTGATGCTAGCTAACACCTTTAAGTCAGGTTGATTCAGCAGCCAAACCGCACAACAGTTACAAAGGGGACTGAATGCCTATATATTGACAGACAAACGGCCATTTTGGGGGATTTGGCTGCCGATGGGTGTTCATTCTATGTTCAGCCACATTTTGTTGGTCCTAACTATTAATCACCTCAGTTTGTGTGATGGCACTCTCCAGCGTGGTAATCTGAGCCAAAACTGTGTCCTGGCTGGACAGAATGTAGTTCATCTCCTTTGTAATCTTCTCCTGTCAAATAAACAGCAAAAACAACAGATACAAACAGCAAATCCATACCACACAGCTTTACATGAACTCTGCATTCACCCATTTACTGTACATTTTATGTTGCATGTCTCTGATATATTGAAACCTGCTTTTTAACATTTTGAGGTAATGCATACCT